CCCACACACACACACACACACACACACACACACACACACACACACACACACACACACACACACACACACACACAGCCATGCCAACACTCCCATAACAACCAATTCTGTTGAACAGAATCAGAATCAGAACAAAATGAAAGCCACAATAGGTCAGAAGAGAAAATTATTTCAGTGTGGTGGAGAAGCTGTAATGTGTTAGCATGGTCTTTAAAGGCAATATGAACCGTTGCAGAGAAGTAAAGCTGATGCACAATTCATGCTTGACCTTTCAAGCAAAATCACATCTCAGGAGATGCGCAGCTTCTGGTCCCCAACTCCGTCCGGTGAACTCAGTCTGCCGCAAACCCTCTGAGCTCCATACGCCAACCAGAAACTACAAAAAAGTGTTGAGTGTGTGTTATTCCAGGGTACCTTTGAGTCTCCTCTCGATCCTCCTTCATCAGCAGATGCGCGCCCCCATCTCCAGAAAGCAGACTCACCCCATGGTCGTTTTAAGTTTCACACAACCGCGTGAAAAAACTAAATCGACTTTCATTCACGGAACCAATGAGAGGAAAAGTGTTCTTCCCGTTCTTTCTCCAGCAGCAGCCACAAACTGATGGCCAACGGACAGCAGACTCGGCCGTGCGCACGCAGATTCCGTCCATCCGGACAAAGATTTGTCCGTCTTCTTTCTCTCCAAGGTGCAGCCTTCGGCTTTTTCCGTCACATTCCGGAACTTGCAAGAAGAAACAACTCCGGTGTCTCCGGACAGACTGACTCTTTTTTTTGTGGTGCGTTTGCACCATCTAGTGTTTGGCACAAAGCGAGCAGTTTGGAATTTAAAGGCACGAGCACAGGCTTCTTGTTTGGAGGCAGAAATTCAGAACATCTTAATAATGAAAATAAAATATAAGAAAACGGTGTGAAATATCCACGTTTTTCAGTCTTAAAGGATATACATTTCTAATTTATACAGATGAAAAAAATTGGAAACATATTCAAAAATATTCATTCTCAAGTTTGTTGAACAGACTTTTTTTGTCTAACAAAATTAGAATTCTCAGATTTTTCTCTTATGAATGTGACAATACACCCATAAAACGACACAAAATTGAGTAGTGTCTCAGCCTGGATCTTTGTTAGGAGTGAGTTTAACTTGACTGGGTTTCTTCCATTACATCCCCGGGAGAAAACAATCTTATTTTTGCTGCTGTTTGGTCCACTTTGGCTATTTAATGAGTCCCTGTCTGTGTTGTTTAGGCAGATGTTATGTGCAAGGGATCTTTGAAAAAGGTAATAAACACATTCAGATTGTAAATTACTTAAATAAGAATTTATTTTTTTTATTTATATTTATTGTACCGGGATTGTTTATATCTTCTGATGAAACAAGATAGCCCTTACTCCACAGATTTACTGGACCCGCAGCTGAGGTACAGCCTGAGTCGGCCCCTGAACTTCCTGTCCCTGACGCCGTAGATGAGCGGGCTGAGCAGGCGCGGGAACACGTTGGTGGACAGGAAGGTGGCGAAGAGGATGTTGGTGCGGGCGGCGGGCCAGGCGCTGAGCAGGACGAGGGTGATGAAGGGGGAGAAGAAGGCCAGCATGCACAGGAGCAGCTGCGCCCCGTGCAGCAGGATGGTGTTGCGGGCGTTCCTGGCCGAGGCCTGGCCGGACGCCGACACGGCCTGGGCCGCGCACAGGACCTTCAGGTAGGTGACCAGCAGAGTCAGGGCCACAAAGGAAAACAATAGGACCTGGAAGGAAAGAAAGGCCCTTGTTAACCCGTTCATCCTCCATCCTTAAAGCCATTTGAACGCAAAAAGACGAAAAGGTCTGAATTAGAATTTCACCTGGACGAGTAAATTTTGCATGGCGTGGTACGGCGTGTTGTACACAAAGGAGGGGTGGCAGACGACCGGCTTTGAGAAGGCCGAGGCCGGCTGGGTGGCCAGGATGATGACCACGTCTGCCAGGGCGGGGAGGGCGGAGAGGCTCCAGATGAGGACGATGATGGCGTTGGCCCGGTGCACCGTGCAGATGCCAGGGTGGTGCAGAGGCAGGCACACAGCAACGTAACGCTCCACCGCCATGGCGGCCAGGGTCAGAGGGCTGTTCCTGATGGAGACAATCCCGTTTGATTAGGACTTCTGAGCTTCTGTCCACTCATCACATCAAGCTGTGAATACAGGAATAAAATCTCAGCTCTCGGGTAAAGCTCCTCTACCAAAAACCCATTCGAAAAGATTCATTCCAGCAAGAAAATGCATGACAATTAGTCCACATATACCCTATCCGTTGTTCGAAACATTAACTTAGCTTTTCCTTCCAGTGTAGAGCAGCCAGGACATTCTCATCATCACAAACTCACTCACTTGTTAGATGTGACTGCGATGACCAGAAGGATGCAGCAGGGGGCCAAACTGAGGGGAACGCTGTAGGTGAGGACTTGCAGAGTGACAGTAAACGTCAGCATGATCATGTCGTTGATCACCAGATGGGTGTACAGCACGTACCTGACGGGGAGCCATAAACCGGGGTTTTACAAATTGTTGAAAATCAGGTCCAAACAGTTGTGTCTCACCTGGAGTCTCGCCGGAGGTCCTCGCTTTTATAATAGATGTAGAGAAATGTCCCATTGATGCAGTTAATGATGACGCAGAAAGCGACGGAGATGAAGTTCTTTGTGAAAGCGTCATTTAAGGTGTCCAGGCGTCCCGAAGAGTTCATGTTCCTCCTTTTGCCCCTTCGCCATCCAAATGGACAGAAAATGTTATTTTCTGTGAAAAAAAAATGGCCTGAAATGCTGAGTGGAAACAGATTTTTCACCCATTTAAAGATTCACAAATATTTACACAACTTATTACAGATAATAATGATAAAAGTATTTAACATCATCTGCCAGTTCACTCAGATTTAATTTGAAAACTAAAGCCGACAACAAAGCAACAAAACAAGATAAAGTTACAAAAGCACAGAGGGCTGAACGTGATGCTACAAAAATTATGTCAATTTTTCAAAGAGCTTCTGGTTACTAAAATGTGACATATTTCAAGAAGTTAAATTTCGGGCTTTCTGCTCTGAATCTGAATGGCGCCCTTAGTCTCTGACTATGAAAGATGAGGACGATTTAAAAACCTCTGACTTACTTTGGCATCCCGTTGGAGTCAGTAGTCAGAGCCGAGCTGACCGACTGTCTGAGGGAGCAGAACCTCGCAGTCATATAAGTTTCCTTTGGAGAGGTGGGGTAGGTCTGGAAGTGCTTGTTTCCCCTGACAAAAACACCCGGGGCGACTGTGTGATGGTGATATGATGTGTTGATAACGAAAACTTTTTAAACAACACACAAATAGATTTTATCAGAACAAGAAGCCATCGGGTTCATCGTAAAGATGCCAAGGTTTTTACGAGAGCTCTAAAGTTTTTATACTTAAAGGGTATACAAGAGGATAACTAATCCATTTGAGGTACTTTAAGCTACCTTTATTTATCATGCCTGGATATAGATGAGATGAGATATACTTTATTGTCCCCATGGGGAAAGTTTTCTTGGACTCCCTCCAGCTGAAGTTTACACTGTAGCAGAAGGGTGAAATAAAAACCGGTCAAACTAATGTCTTGGTGCATCTCTCTGCAGTGTTCTGAGCTTTTTCAGTCGGGTCCAGAGGGTGTTTGATCAAGCTGCACTTTGAGCTTGAGCTGAGTTTCCATCCCGGGTTACAAATGAAGATCAAAGAACAGCAGGTTTGACTGGATCTCTGCAGCTTTCTGAGGAGTTTGGGTCATGGACAGAACAGCTGACTCAAAGTTTTGTAATGGGACTATTTACTAAAGCAAAGCCTAAAACAGTATATTACATTCTGGATGTCTGGTTTGACTTAAAAGCAACATTTGACTTCAAAATCCCAAATCACTCCTCTGATTGTAGAATATAAATGTTTTCAATAAAAACCATAAGCATAGATAAAATAAAGTTGTAATCTTATCATCTGAACATTATCTGAAAAAGGATTTTAAGGATTGTTCAGTCAAGTCAAGATAGCAGATGTGACTCCACTCTTGTCAGATAAGGAAATTAAAAACTGGACTTAATGAGACGCAATAAGGACAGAAGGCTTTCATCATAATCACACAGAAATTCACACCAAGAACAAAAAAATGTGTTTATTTGGTGTGTTGTTTGTGTAATTAATACATGTGGGGAAAAAAAGCAGTCTCCACTCTTGTGGCTCGACACAGATGCAATATTAGAAATAAGAATTAATGGGAAAAAATGATGTGTGCATTCATCTAACCAATAATCAGCTCAAATTGGGGTCAATCAGGATTCTAAGTTTGTATTCCAGATCCTTGAATAATTATACAGTAAATCTAAATACTGCCATCATACCAGTCCCAACCCTACTCCCCTTCAACATTATTGTTGGAACAACTTTTGTAACACATTAAACCCTTGTGAGCCCTCCAGGAGTCATTAATGGCCTCGATTCAGTGAAACTGGGGTTTGAATAAGCCCCGGGATACAGGGTTAAATGCTTTGTCATTACCTCCAAAAGCTTTCAGTTTATTTGATATGTAAATATTTGACTTGTGAAACAGATTATATGAAGGATTTGACCATTAACTGGGACATGAAAAATTAATTCATTTTGAGAGAAAGCTGAGTTGATTGGACATTCACCCCTTCAAAACTGCTCCGATCAGCCAACAAAATACAAAACCCTTTTGCATACTGAGGACAGTGTCACATCATTTATGGAAGAATCGTCTGTTTATTTAAGCTCCAGACTTCGGCGGGGCATTTCTGACTCCGATGATCCTGCGACCCCGACCGGACACGTACCGGAACCAGTATTTCCTGAAGTGCTCGTCCCGAAAGCCGTAGACGACGGGGCTCAGGAAGCGAGGGATGACGTAGACGAGCAGGAAAAAGGTGTAGCGGATGTCCAGGCTCAGCTGGGGGAAGAGGGAGATCAGGGCGGCCTGCAGGGAGGGAACCACGAAGGCCAGCATGCACAGCAGCAGCTGAAACAAAATCACAGGAAAAGAGGAGACACTTTTTTACAAAAGCATTTCAGAAAACTGAAAAAAAAATTATTTTTTTTGGTACAGCACATGAGAATAACTAATACATTTAATCCTTATTATGCTGGTACAATAGGACAGTGTTTTTCAACCACTGTGCCTCGGCACACTACTGTGCCGCGAGTGATGGTCAGGTGTGCCGTAGAAAATCATCCTATTTCACCTAATTGGTCTAAAAAGATTTTTTGATAAGGAATTAATTATCTGCAAATAATATTCCATTTTTGAGTGTCTGTGCTGTAGTAGTGACTGGTGGTGTAATCATGTAATAATTCTTTATGACTAGATTTTGTATATAATTTTGCATATTGAAGTCGACATGTTAAGAGCAATTTGAAAGAAGAAATATAAAATATGATAAAAAATACATGGTTTGTGTTTATTTGATTCCTATTCAAGACACTTCAGATAAGATAAGAATAAAATAAGAATAACTACAGTGTTACTATAGGCGGCTACAGATTTGTTTAACATCTTTGGCTGGTGGTGTGCCTCGAGACTTTTTCAATGAAAAACTGTACCTTGGCTCAAAAAAGGCTGAAAAACACTGCAATAGGATATTGTTACAGAAAGTGAAAGTATAGTCTGGCGTGTGGAAAGTCATCTGCTTAAATAAGGAAATAGCCGAAAATGAAGTCATTAAATGACTCATTTCAGTTGAAGTTGCTGACTATTTCAGTGTAAATAACCAATATAAACCTGATAAAAAATCTTGTTTGGCCATCATATAAAAACGCCTTATTGGCTCTGACATTACAGCTGAACGCAGTGTGACTTTGCTTCTTGGCTCACTTGAAAAAGAGCTGCCATTTGTGTTATTAATTCAAAGTTTGTGTTTCCCTCTACCGGCACGCACCTGCACCCCGTGAAGCAGGACGGTGTTCCTGGCCCTCTTGACCGAGGCCAGGCCCGAGGAGGCGGCCCGAGCGGCCAGCATGATCTTGCAGTAGGTGTAGAGCAGCGTGAGGGCCACGAAGGACAGGTAGGTCCCGTCGAACACGCAGTTCTTGTAGTAGATGGACGGGTGGCGGAACAGGAAGGAGTGGTCGCAGAAAACGGCGGCCTGGAAGAACCCCGGGGGCTCCTCGACCACGGTGATGAGGAGATCGGTGAGCGGGGGCGCGGCCGTGAGGAGGAAGACGGCGCCGATCAGGACCAGGGTGCGGGGAACCGTGCACATCTGGCCGTAGTGCAGGGGGAAGCAGATGGAGATGAAGCGCTCCACCGCCATGCCGGCCAGCAGGAGGGGGGTGGAGCGGGTGGTCAGCACGGCCGTCATGATCTGAGGACGGGTCAGCGTTACCAAAACATCTCAAAAAACAACCCCCATTTTGTCAAAATCTGTTCGATTTCACAGGGACTGGGCGCCCCGGGCTCCTGGGCTTACGAGCGGGCAGCAGACAGAGGCGTGGATCTTCCTGAAGATGTAGCTGACCACGTACAGGACGGTGACCAGGGTCAGCTGCAGGGCATCGTTGACCACCATGCAGATGAACATGATGTAGCGGGGGTTCTCGTAGAAGAGGCTGGGGTCAGAGACAGAGAGCCCACAGTGAAACCAAAACCTCTGGTCAAGTGTTTGTTTTCAGGCTCTAATGGATCTTTACACACATTCCCAACATCTCAACCAACATCCGGGCCTTATAGGAGCTGTTGGAATGACCACGCCGGACAATGAGTCCGTACCTGTGCCGCAGAAAGGTGTGCACCATGCTGCCGTTGATGATGCTGAGCACCAGCCACACCAACGTGGCCATTATGTTCTTGGCCAGGGCATTGGAGAAGCTGTCCTTAGGAAGGGCCAGCAGGAGGAAGGTGGCGTTCGTGGCCATCGTCTCCTCCTCGTTATCTGACCGGAGGAGGTATTATTGTTAATTACTCATATTCATTTATAATGTCTGGTCACAGAAAACCTATGAAGACAGCAGCATTTTATCTGAAACTCTTCGAGCCAACATTCTCTGCTATATTGATTAAAATAAATAGTAAATTAATGTTGAAAGTCATGCAAAGACAGAGGGGATTTTAGTTGTTTTTCAGTGCATCCAAAATAAAAACTATTATTTGATATTATTTGTCACTCAGCTCTGCCGAGCATAAAATATATGAAACTATTAAATAAATGATAAATAAATAACAACCGACAAATACATAAAGTATAAACTTACCTCAGCAGCTCACAACATTCATTCTGTGGCCTCTGATGGAAATAAAAGAAGCAAATTAAGCAGTGTAACATATGCTGTTGTATCAATTTCACTGTTTTTGTCAAATCAAATGTTCCAAATTTTCTCCTAATCAGTCCAGATAAAAACTTTAGAAAAATGACATTATCACACTTTTTCAAAAGACAGCTATGAGGAAAAAAGGTAACTTACTACAACATCTACTCCGGAGAGCATCAGTCAGACTGTGAAATGATGATGGTGGTCTCACCTGGAGTGTTAATGAGGGGTCAGAAGCCTCCTCTGCAAACCTGCAGCTCCTTTATAAAGCACCTGTGGGTGTTTCTGAGCGTGTGTGTGAGTGTTCAGGCGGTTCCTGAGGACAGGTTCAGGGCTGTGATGTCATTTCTATGACCAAACGAGTTACACATCAGGTTAACCAGAACACAAAAGGACTGTTATGTACAATGGGTATTTTTTTTATTTCTGAAATATTCATATATATTCATCAAGCCTAATTCATGATTAATAGGAGTATGTGGTTTTATTTTATTTGAAAAAATATTGGGTGGTCTTCACAAATTAGGTCAAATCTGGAGTTTTGCAAATAGATTCAAACTATCACACCTCTATTCTCAGGACCACCAGTGTAAAGTGATTTCTTCAGACATTAGATATTAGAGGGACGAGTTCAGGTATTAGGAATATTTCTTCAGTGATAGAAGTAAAGGGAATTAGACTGAACATGCATACATTGTGCTGTTTAACCAGTACTTTGTGGAAATCCTAGAATGCTTTGAAGATTTATGACAGAATGTTCCGGTTAACACTTTTTTAACTATAAAGATGCAGGAGACCAGGCAATAGGCAAAATCAATTGAAAGGGTTAAAGCTCTGTTGTCATATATCATTAAAAAAACAGCTGGATTACGTCTTTACATACATATTTTTAAATATATTTGCAGTGTCGATTCTTATACCCGCTGAAAGTTGGTTGTGGCAAAAGAAGGTTTCGGGTTGGAAGGCATGTTCACATGATTGTGACATGTTTTCCATAGTTTTATTCATTTTTATTTAGTTTTAATTCAAAATCGGGTGGACTCAATGAGTAATGAATGTCTACAGATTGATCTAGTTGTCTTTGCTGACGGGGACCACTTCTTTCCTTGAGTTCCTGCACATGAAGCTCAGGAGGTGCATCCTGAGGTACCTCCTGAACTTCTTGTCTCTGACACCGTAGATGATTGGACTCAGGAAGCGGGGCAGGATGTAGACGATCAGGTAGTTTGCGTATCTGATCTCGAGGATTCGCCCCGGAAAGATAATGTGCAGGACGATCTCCACGCTGGGGGAGATGTAGGAGAGCATGCACATGGCCAGCTGGACCCCGTGGAGGAGGATGGTGTTCCTGGCTTTCTGGGCTGATGCTTTCTGCGTTGAGAGCGCCCTGGCTGCAAACAGGATCTTCAAGTAAGTGAAGACCAGGGTCAGAAACACGCAGGAGAAGTAGATGATGTCAAACGCTTGCCTTTTGTACGCCAGGATGGGTTCTTTGAACACGTTCTGGCGCAGGCAGAACACGGACTCGTGAAAGAAGCTCGGGGACTCGGTGGCCAGCGTCACAAACAGGTCCGTTATGTCCGGAGCCACGCAAATGAACCAGATCAGCCCGATGACCATGTAGGTCCTCCTCACGGTGCAGATCTCACCGTACCGCAGAGGCTCACAGATGGAAATGTAGCGCTCGATGGCCATGCTGGCCAGGTTGACCGGCGTGTTTCTGGTGGTGAAGACGGCCACCAGGATGAAGAAGCAGCAGAAGGCAACGTTGATCCTGTAGAAGATGTAGCTGAGGACGAACAGCGTGATGGTGACGGTCAGCTGGATGGCGTCATTGATCACCATGTGGATGAAGAGGATGTAACGCGGGTCCTCGTAGAAAGTCTGGAGGTGGAGGGGAGCAAAAGTATGAAATGGTATCGATAAATCAATGACGAATACAGGTCAAAGGACATTTGTGTTATCAGCCCACTAAAAAAAAAGTAATAGAGTAATTTATTTGTGTGTACAGTCATTCATTTCAGAGCAGAGAACTTTATGGGAATTTAGGGAATAATCCCGCCACATTTTAGTAATTAATGACCTGTTTGCTTCACCCTGTCTTTAGATTGTCAAAGAGAGAGCTGTTTTTAAAAAAAAGTGATTCACCACTTTTTTCCTTTTAAAAGTAAAATGAGAAAATGAGGAGAGTTTAAAATCTTGATAAAAGAAATCAGACAACAATTAATAATTTTTGCTGTTTTATTCTAGATTCTTGGCTGTATTGGATGTATTTATTCACTTAAAAAACATTCAAAGCGGTAATCACATCTCTAAACACTAGAGAAACATTTAGTGTTTTAAAATATTTTTTAATTCAATAACCTCTTTATTTTCATTATTTAACCCTTTAACGCATCACGTATCATATTTGATATGTAGATTTTTGATCTTCATACAGTCAAAACCAGATTTTTTCTTTTTTTACATTTAATTCATAGTAAAATGTGCAGAAAAAAAATATTCCATTTTCTTGTATTGTATTTGTTTTCAATTAAACAAATAATTTAGATTAAAAAGTTATCATTTTTTTATCCATTTGTTATCAGATCAGGCTTTATTTAACTCCCGTCTCACTCATACAACAGATTTACCTCAGAATTAATGAATCGATTTGTGCAAATCATCAAAACTCAAAAACACTGCTGACAAATTCAGTCTGGAATGATCATAAAAAAAGGATCAAACAGTGATGTAGCTGCTTAAGCAGCACTGTGAGTACCTGGTGTCTAAAAAAGGTGGCAACCAAGGTGCTGTTGGTGTAAGTGAGGATGAGCCAGACCAGAACCACAATCAGGTTCTTCACAAAGGCCGTCGTGTAGGTATCCCTGATGAAGAACTTGACAGAAAGAGACAAAAAAGACAGAGATTTAATCTCAAAAAGTATTTCCTTCCTATTGATAAATCGAAAATAATGCTGCTAAAATAATGTAACATTATAAATTCAATATTATAAGTATGATAAAGTATTACAAAAGAGAAAAAAGGACAATAATTTAGCATGAATAACACAACCTTTCAAGGCTCAAATAGCAAAAAGAAAATATATAGAGCAAATTCAGAAAATACAAACATCTCAACAAACATTAACAGCTCCTTTACAGCCTCACAAACTCTTCTTTAAGTTTCATACACAGGCCTCATTGTAGAAAAGGAACTTTAAGTGTTTCACATATTACATAAACATATGTCAACAACATGCCTACTGACTCAAAAACATTTTTTATTGGAGGGAAACTGAAAAAGTAAGGATAAAAATGGAAGAATACAAAAAAGCATCTAAAGTGTGTGGCCATTTTAAACAGAAAAAAGGAATCCACACTGTTCATACTGATGCTTTTTAAACTGAGAAGGATGTTCCTGTTATTAACAGCAAAATGATTAAGTTACACACAGCTTCCTATATGATATACAGACAACTTATCTATTTAATTAAAAGCCAAGTGCATTTAATACGTTGGACAAACTGTGGCTAAATTGTAATATAAAATGCTATTCAATTATTTTTTCTCTTTACGTTTAAAACTGACATTCTTACTGATTTAGTAGTAAATTTAAAGATAAAAAATACAACATGTAATTTGACATAGAGTTTGATCATACGTCATTTATATTTCTGACATGTGCTGAATAATAAGAGGCTTTATCAGTAAAGTACTAATATCCATACTGTCCATAGGTACTCAGAAAATGTGCACGCTGTCACCAGCTATTCTATCTGAAAATACAATTTTTAGATTTGCACATTGTATAATCTTTTACAAGTCAAATATTTGGTCTAAAAATTGATATTGATTGACAATCAGGTGCTGCAGCACTCTTTAGATTATTGAAAATGCCTCTCATTGTTCCGCGTTGTTATAAAAATCATGCTACAATAGCTGTAACTAACTTTAAGAAATAGCGTTCATATTCAATTATTCATATTTTTGTGCCTAGCATGCTATCTGATAATGTGCTTTAGAAATAAATGGCATTGCATTGGAAAGTACAGGTCTTCAATGGCATTTGAACTGTTTCACCAAACCTGAGTAGGAACAGTCATGTTGCTTCTGCCACCCACTAACCAGCTCATACTTCACCAAGACCTGAGAAAACAAATAGTTTTGATCAATTATTTTAGTGCAGATCAACATTATCAATTAAAGTAATCCACCAGAAAACATTCAGTATATTAATGTTTTAAAACAAATTCTACTTTCACAGATTTTTTTTACCAGCTTTATCAGTAAAACACACAAAATCATTAACAATGTCAGTGAGGAACTGAACAAAACCACAAATTGTTAAAAGTATATTTACAGCAATAAAATAAATTCCAGCTCACTGATGGCATAAACACAAATGCAATACAGTACAGTCAGATAAAACATTATACGACTTTAATGTCTAAATTGAACCAGGATTTAACTGATTCAGTTTAAAAAGTTGGTTATCTGAACATGATCAAAGTCATTAAAGTTTTCCTGCCTGTTGCTTACCTGACTCCAGGTCAGATGCAGATTTCAGAGAGCTGCAGAGGCTTTATAAAGACTGCAGTTGTATGGGGAACTGTAGGGGAAAAAATGGATCCATCCATCCATCCATTCTCTGTACGGCGTATTCCTTGTAGGATCACAGGGGGGGCTGGAGCCTATTCCAGCTGACACCCCGGACAGGTCGCCCGGCCATCACAGGACAACCACACACACACACACACACACACACTCGCACACACTCATATGGGCAATTTTTTTGTCTCTAATTAAGCAAACATTCTTTTTTTTTGGTTTATGGGTAGAACCTGGAGAGCGCTCAAACATACAGAGGCAGAGCATGTAGGCTCCACACAGAAAAATTACTGTGGGGAAAATTATGATGGACATTTAATATGGAAGCTGGGAGACATTTTCTTACTCCTTCTTCTTCACTCATATTACAACCGATTTGATTCACACCAAAACAAGAACCTATTCCTTCTCAATAAGTTCAAAATGTAATTAAAACGTGGAGAAAAATGAAACTTTTTTTTTTTTTAAAAGAACTCTGCTTCAGACTAAACGTGGCCTCATCCCCTTTAAGAAGTAGGTTATCATGAGATCCAGAAGAGGGCATGCTAGCGTCAGCCTGGTCTCATGCAGGCCCGGGTGACACCACAGCCTGTTGGACTGAACACTCATCTCTAACTTAACTGCACAGATTTATATTCATTTGAATCATTTTTAAGGACTGGTTGTGTGTTAGTTAGGTTTGATAAGACTATCACGCTTTAGATGATGCAGTTGTTTTGCTTTGTGGCGTAAACCAGTAATACCTCTTCTATGTACAGCCATTTTTCCTTCTCCCTCTCAATGCTCTATCTTCAAGAGCCCACTCATTTCAGGTCTTTCTCGGTTCAGCTTGTGAACGTCAAAAAATAAATAAAATGTGCTCTTTTACCTCTTTATGTAAAAAGAGACCACACTTACATGATGGACATAGCTACAACGGACTCAAGCTGGGATTTTTTGAGTGACAGTAAACATGAAAAATAAATTTTTGTTTCACAAAATGTCCGTCAGTGACCCTGTGACACAGTTTACTTCTTTACTGAAAACGTTCATGTAGATGTTACCAGACAAACCCCCACAAGTTCACCGGGAAAACAAAAGGACTACACCCAGGAAATAAATCTTTTATTGATGAAAACTGGGGCTCGTAAGACGAAAGTACATATTTAGTCCGTGTAGGTGTCTGTTTACACTCAGGAGCACATGAGCAGGATCTCATAAGTCTGGGAAAAAAAAAAAAAGCTGTGACACATTAACTGAAGCTGCCAGTTTAAAGTGGGGATGTGAAAGTTTCATTTTAACCCATTTTAATCGGTTTTCATTTAATCATTTACACATTTGGGTCACATCAATAAACATTTACATTTTAAATGTTGTATGTATGTGTAGTTATTTGTTCTTCGGTCTGATTGCAAATACATTGTCATTAATGTTTCCAAACTTTTGACATGCGTGGCTCAGTTCTCCATTAGGGCCTTTTCAGAGATTTCTCTGGACTCACACTGGTATTTATTTTGTAATAATTTCTCAAGTGCTTTCTGAAGATCTTGTCTCGCAAGCCATAAACGATTGGACTGATGAGTCTGGGCAGAATCTGGATGAGGATCGAAATCACGTATCGAATAGTTCGAACGTCGTCGGGGAAAAATGTGGCCAGGCCTTGAATGGAGATGCTGTGAACATAACTCAGCATGCACAGCAGCAGCTGAAAGCCATGCAGCAGAACCGTGTTTCTTGCCTTCTTTGCGTTGGCCGAAGCCGCCTGGGCAGCGAAAAGGATCCTGAAGTACGTGTAGAAGAGGGTGGCCCAGACGAAGACCAGGAACAAGATGTTGGACACATCGTACTTGGTTTGAAGATGAGGGTTTGCAAAAATACCCGCCCGCAAGCAAAAGAGCCTGGAGGTAAAAAAATCCATCGGTTTTTCAGCTAAGATCACAAACAGGTCCGGGACGATCGCAAGAGAGGTCAGAGTCCATATCACAGCGATCACGATGTAGGTTTTCTTTACGGTACAGATCCGGGGGTGGTGGAGGGGAAAGCAGACTGCCAGGTAACACTCCACCGCCATGGCAGCGAGCGTTAAGGGGTTGTTTAGAGTGGAGATGATCGCAATCATCAGCATCACAACGCAAAAAGACACGTGCAGCGTGAACAAGACGTAACTCAGGACTTGAAGAAGCACAAACAATATCAGCATGATGATGTCGTTGATTACCAGATGGATGTAGAGGATGTAACGCGGGTTCATGTTGAAAACCTGAAGGGTTGTAGAAGAATTAAGAAACACGAACGTAAAAATTCAGCTGACAATAAAAAGAACTTATGGTGTTACCAACTAATACGCAGATTCCTTTAGACTATTTGATATAAATGTAACAGTTTCAGATTTTTTAAATCAAAATACACATCTGCATTTAGACCTTGATGCAGAAGATGAAGATTAATGAATGAATGAATAATGAAACTAAGATATCTGACAAATCTCACACATAAAAGTCCAACTATAGGAGGGACACACCATAAAAACTGAGAAGAAAAATATGACACCATCAAAACAGAAAACTCTCAAAAAACAAGAACAGAAAGACAGAACTTTCAGAAACTGATCATTCAGATTTTGTAAAAACTTTGCAGTTCTAAAATTGGATGATATTTGGCTTTATGTAGTTTGTAAACAGAATAAACACATCGGATCAAACATGAAATGGAGGAGTTCAAACTGCGCCTTGAGCATAAGGGAACTGATTAGTATGAGTGCAGATGTTCAGACCTGATGTTTTCTGAAGGTGTGCAGCAACGTGCCGTTGATGTAGATGACGCAGGCCGAGAGGACCACAGTAACCACATTCTTGATTATTGCTACGTGTTGGGGGTCCCGACTGACGGTTGTTGCTGAGACATTCATGCCAGAGTTCAGAGGCTCCTGGAGACCTGCAACGTCCCCTGAAAAAACAAAACAGATGATCCAGGTCACGCTGGAATTAAAAGCTTTTATGTTATCGTTCAGCAGGTCCGAAACACTGAAATTAACTGTAAACGTTCACACACAAAATCCTAAAAGTTCTGTAGAAATTTCTCTAATAGATGTTTTGTCTTTCAAGCAGTTTGGGACATAAATGCATATCAGTGCTCTCAGATGTATTTATTTCTGTTACAGAGACAGAAAGGGTTTTTCACACAGCTGACTGTTTTTTACTTATCATTAACTTATCATTTTTGTCAAAATCGTGACGTTTCTCTTCAACGGTTCACTCAAAACGAGCTTCACTGACGAGTAAAAAGTGTTCAATTTGTTGATCACTGGAGAGGTATTGAAATACATTTAAAAAATGGCATTACATAAATAAATAGCAGTACCTAAAACAAGGCAACAGTCTTTGTTGCCACTGTTGGATATTCAAAACAAAATTATTAAAATCAGTATAAAGTCATTACAGCCCTGTAATGCACATTTAATGAGAACAAAAGCGAAAATCAAACCGTGTAAATCTAAAAATATATATATTTTTTGTTAATAATACTGAATTCCCATTGATAGCAGAATCATCCGTTCATAGAGGAGGTGAAAGCGGTGCAGACTGGCTGCAAGACGCAAAGGAGAGACTCACCTGGTGTTGGTCACACATGAGTATGCTACGAACACTACAAGAGCTGCAACAATATATAGGCTCTGCAAAAGTCATGGGATGGAACACGTGGGGTGTGTTTGTGTTTCTTTGAGTAATTCTACAGAAAAAATTATGTGCAGGAGTGGCGTTATCCAGATTAGGAGAAAGTCATTTTATGGCATTTTGGATGATCATATTAGAACAATGCTGTTTTAGGCCCAACACAGGAGTTTGGGAAATTTGAACGCCATCTTTATATCCAGTGAAACAGACATAGAGAGAAAAAGAGTTTTAAAAGCCTGCTGTATGTTCCACTAGACAGACAATCAACAAGTTAGGATCCTAACACGTTATTTAGGGCTTTTGGATCACAACGAGCTCTTTTAACCAATGGAGGAAATATCTTTATTGCCTTCTTACCACAAAACAGGAACAGAGGCCATTTTATGGTTGGACTGCTTTTTTCGGGGGATAAATCTTATACTAAGACACCATTGTGCTGTTGCTGTTTGGAGATATGTACCAATGAAATGTGTTTACAGTGGTTTGTTTAACATATAAACACTTACCTCACACCAGTGGATGCACTGGTAGGCAACTTGGGGTCCAAAGCCTTGCCCAAGGTCTCAACATGGAGTCGAACCAACAACTGCTTTTTCTTCCTGAGCCACAACCAGCGGCTGAGTTAATATTTGTGAAACATATCATGATTTTGAACTCTGACCATCAGAGGTTAAACAGACTTTAAGGTCAGCAACTCACAGCCTTCATCCATTTTCCCCCCCCATAAGCTATCTGTAAGTGAGCATGTGAATACAGTCATAAATGTATTATAAGTGCATATAAAAGTGTAAATATATATATATATATATATATATATATATATATATATATATGTGTTCTGGCTACTTCCAGTCTGTGCTCCATTGGATGAGTATTTCTATTTTGAGATCTTAATTTGATTTATTGTCTTAAAATAGAAATAATAATTTTCTACTATGTCAGGTCTGTGAATTATTTTTGACATTTTATGGCTAAATGTGCTCAGAATTGTGGAATTTGGTGTATGTAATGTATGCGGGGCTCATCTGCATTTGCACTGTGTCTCACTCTGAATGAACTTTAGATCAGATATAATGCAGATTGTTATTTCTGCACCACTCAATGTTCAAAGAAAACAAAAAGATGATTACATTTGTTGAATATGTCACTGGAGATTTGACGTAAAAAGAACTGACAGTAAAATCTGTGCTATGTATCATCTTCTCTGGTCTTGCTGTTCCCTTTTTTCCTTTAAAGGAGCACTTTGCAACTTCCAAAGTAACACATTTTAGACAGTTTTTTTTTAATGTAATCAGATTGTTTATGCTGAATTTAAAAATAGTGTAAAAATATAGTTTGTATGAAGCCATTGTTCAATCATTTAACACGTATCTGCAAGTGCATCATTTGAAAGCGGTGGATTCGCTCCAGATTTTCTTGAATTGTTTAATGACATTAAACAGGACAGACCAATAAATATCCAAAACCATCACAATGTTTCCATGAAAAACATGATTATCCGTATGCAGTTGTTGGAAGGCTGGAAGTGTTCTTCCCATTGGACGGAAATGGGAATGTTAATGGAAGTAACTATGGACATTTTCCTTAATTTAGCAGCAAAGGAAGTAAATCAAGCAATACATGTCTTTTTTCCTAATGTATATCATTTAAATGTTTCTGATTTAATGTTTTTGTTTAATACGAGTCATTGTTTTTCTTCTCTGGTGGCGGACAGCAGGGCGTTTCTGAAGTATGGCTCAAATGTCCAATCTCCACTCCATGACTTTCTCTGTTGTGTGTGAGGAAGATTCTTTGTTGATATGGACAAGCTGAGTACTCTTTGATGTTAATTAAACCAGTGAAATACAGTTCAATGAATACAGAAATACAGTTCCCTAAAATTACATTTTTGTGCAATAACAAAAACTCAAAACCTGTCTATAGCAGTGTTTCCCAATCCTCAAGGCACCCTGCCCTGCATGTTTTCCAAGTTTCCCTGCTCCAGCATACCTGATTCTAATGAATGGGACTTTAGCACATTTCTGCATAGCTGAAAAGTCGTTCCATTTATTAGAATCAGGTGTGCTGGAGCAGGGAAACTTAGAAAACATGCGGGGCAGGGTGCCTTGAGGACCAGGATTGGGAAAAACTCAATTTATCCCTCTATTGAAGACAAAACACCATGGCTCTTCAGACACCAATGGATTTGTTTCTTATTGGCACTTTAATATCGTTCAAATCAAACTCCACTGTCAACTGTTCATGACAGCTTACAAACAAACAGTTACACATAAATCATGAAGCAAACAGAATCAGTTTTCGGACCCCTTCAGGTGCAATTAGTTTTGAAAATTTCTTTAAACAATTTATTTTTAGAAACATTTTATTTTCCAGCTGACAAAATTATGATTTCGAGATGCTTTGGAGCTTTTCTACCCCCTTGTTCCTCTGAACACATTTGTAAAAATGCAACTGACCCCAAAATTATTTAGAATATTTCCGCTAATCTTTTTTTGATAGAATGTATCGTACACTCAGGGCATTCTTCAGACCCATTATTTATTTATTTATTCGTCTTTTTTATCCAGATTTCTGTGGTATTCCTTTGATCATCTTACACAGCATATACTTTCTCAAGTACTGTTTAAGTGTTTTGTCTCGTAGTCCATAAACGATTGGACTGACAAACCGGGGGAAGATCTGAATGAAGATGTACCAAACAAAGAGTACTTCTGAAAAATTTTTGGGAAACCAGTTTATGAAAGCTATTTTTAAAAGAGGGGCTACAAAAGTGAGCATACTTAACAGCAGCTGGAAGCCATGAAGCAGAATTGTGTTCCGGGCCTTTTTTATTTTTCCAT